AGGTTGCGCCTCGTTCCATTTCGATTCCAGCGGGCAGCCTTGGGGGGGTTTGAACAGCCGGTTCCGCTCTCTTATTTCTCCGATAAACCAGGGCTAAGCCAGCTCCGATCAGCATGAACCCTGTTATCATGGTTCCGAATAGATAGATATCTTCAGCGTCCTCGATCGACAGTCCCGCCAGGCACATGATCCTCCAGTTCTGCCACCCGTCCATCGTGTATCCGGCAGGGAAAGTCCCTCCAGGGCACTCAGGCTCTCCCGAGCCCAGATTTCTCATTGAGAAAAGGGTGTCAATAGCATTCAGAGACCAGTTGATCAAATCCAGAATTCTCTTTTAGGTTTTAGAGAACGACAGTGGGAGGCTATTCCAGGGAAAGTAATGCACACAAGACAAGACAAGGACATAGAGGCTAAGCAGGGAAGATAAGGGTGAGGAGGAGAGGAGAAAAGTGCGACCGCCTTCGCTGAGAGCTAAAGAAGAGTGCACCAAGTGCTCTGATTACCACTGGAATCACTGTTACCTTCACACTTCACATCTTTCTGAGCTCTTCTCTGAGCCATTTGGTACTTCTCCAGGTTCTTATGTTCCTTCTTCCTGATGTGTCTATCACCATGGTTGCTCTTCCCTGCTTGTCAACCACTACTATGTCCAGTTGGGTAGCCATCACCAGTTTGTCCATCTGTATCTGGAAGTCCCACAGGATCATACCACAGTCATTCTCGACATCACCTTGTTCCTCGAATTCAGCTGACTACTCAGAACTTGCCTTACTCTCTGCAGGTACTTGATGGTTGCAGCTTTCCTAGCGGCCTCTTAGTGGTTCCTATTTGTCTGTGGTACTTGTAGCTATTCTCACTACTTCCAGTAGTGCGATCCTCTCAGTTTTGACTACCTTTTCTTCGTTACCATCCGATGACATTTCTCCAGTCTGAATGACATTCCGATGCTGCTGCTTTAGATCCTTGGAGTGTGGATCAGTGAATCGATGTATCATTCACTCTTGGCATACAGCTTGATGCCATCCATGTGGAGGAGGTGGCTTACAATTGCTCCATTCTGTAGTCTGTATCAGTAGCCAGTCTTGTCAATGATCTCATTCAGGGGGTTCAGGCCTATGCAGAACAGCACTGAGGACAGCGGGACAGATCCCGCACCGATGGTGACTTGTGCTATAGGCTTGAAGTTGGCGTCTAAGTGTTGTATGCCAGATTCCCATTAAGTTCCTGATGAAGGCTCTAACGGTCCTGTTGATCTCGTATAGTTCTAGGTATTCCAGGATCCATGTGTGGGCCATCGAGCCATAGGCCTTCTTGTAATCAATCCAGGCAGTGCACAGGTTGGCCAGCCTAGTCTTGCAGTCTCAGGCGACTGCTCCATCTATCAGTAGCTGGTGTTTCACTCCCAATTCCTTTCCATGCGCTGCTCATGTATTGAGCCAGGTGCCTGTTCAACTTAGCTGCTATGATGCCTGACAGGAGCAATCATGTGGTACTGAGGCAGGTTATTGGCCGGTAGTTGGATGGGACCGGTGCCTTCTGGGGGCTCCTTGGGGATCAGGACTGTCTGGCCTTTGTTTAGCCATTTTAGGTGTCTCTCATTGACTAGCAGCTGGGTCATTTGTGCTGCCAGGCGCTTGTGGAGTACAGTCAGCTTCTTCAGCCAGTAGGCATGAACCATGTTGGGGCCTGGTGCTGTCCAATCCTTCATACTGGAGACCCTTTCTTGGATGTCTGCCACTTTGATGGTTACTGGACCCTGTTCAGTGAGCTAGCTGTAGTCTGCTCTTAGATCCACTAGCCACTGAGCATTGACATTATGGGCTGCATCCTTCTCCCATATGCTCTTCCAGTATTGCTCCATCTCCAGCCTTGGTGTTGCTGTTGTCATGCTGTTTCCTGCCACTGAGAATACACCTTGGATTGTTCTGTGGAGAACAGCTGGTTTATTCTTCTGCTTCTATTTCTCTGGTATACCTCTTTAAGCGCCTGGCTTGAAGGCTATGAGTCTTTGCTTGGCAGTTTCCAAGGCCTCAGATATGGACAGCTTGCTGTACTTCTCAGGCACCTTCCACATCACACCTTTCTGTAACTTCGATAGTTGGCCAACTTCGCCCCATGCTACTTTGATCTCACACAAACACACACGCCTGAGAGAAGAGCTTGAGAAGCTCTGGAGGATGAAGGCAACAGTGGTCCCAGTGGTAATTGAAGCGCTCGGGGCAGTGACTCCCAAGCTGGCGAGTGACTACAGCAGGTCCCAGGAACAACATCTGAGATGTCTGTCCAGGGGAGTGCAGTCCTAGGAACAGCAAAGATGCTGCACAGGACCCTCGAGGTCCCAGGCCTCTTATGGAGGACTTGAGCTTGAAGGATAAAGACTACCCCCAAGGTGAGTAAGGACTTTTTTTTGTACTCTGTTAAGGTCCTCACTATCTAATAGAATCTACTCACCTCTGTGGACAGCCCACATTATGCAAAATGCAGAACCACCAATCTCGTCAAAGGGTTTCTTGCGTGTGATGACCTCCCACAGGATAATCCCCCAGCTGAACACATCACACTTTTCACTGTAGTTACTGCCTGAAGAATATACCAAACCATATTTAAAAGAATCTGAAAGTTATAGCCAGCAAAATACAGGTTAAAAGTGATGGTCATTAGGTAGTTCACAGTGACAAAGTCGTGCAGTTGTACTAAATAAGTTTATATATCCCTCGTGTCATAGTTAATTAACTGACACCAAGTGTAGTCCTCCTTCAACACCTGCCAACACTCTGATCTTTCCTGGGTTTCTCATATATTTTAAAACCACTACCCTTTGGCTTCCTGGCTTCATTTCTCCTGGTAAGATCTACAGACATTACATTGGACTTCTTTGCTTGATCAACTATGGGACCTTATATAGACAGGTGGGTGCCTTTCTAAATCACATCCAATCAACTGAATTTTCTACAAATGGACTCCAATCAAATTGAAGAAAAATCTGACACATGATCAGTGGAAACAGGATACACCTGAGCTCAATTTTAAGAACCAAAGTCTATAAATGTTTATATACACGCTATATTTGTTTTTTTTATTTTTAATGAAGAATTTCACTGTAACCTTTTTCACATTGGGTTTTTGGGACATTCCATGTAGAATTTTGAGATGAAAATTTTATTTAATCCGTTTAGGAATAAGGCTTACAAAATTTGGGACAAGTGAAGTGCAGCAAATACTTCATCAAATAAATTTAAGTTATTAAATTAAATGATATTAAATTTTTGTGTGTTCATCTCATCTTTTTGTGGCTGGTTCCTTTAGGGGTCAACACAGTGCCTCTACTGTCATACCAATCTTCTACCTGTCCTCCTTCACTACATCTCTGAATTTTGTTGGTAGTCTGCTTCCTTTCCTCCATCCTGGCAGCTGCATAATCAAGATTTTGAACATTCTTAATGTGGTATATAACAACATGAGACCAACATGAGATCATGAGTCCAAGATTGAAGAGGTGGGCGGGTTTTGAGCAGATCAACACCGGTTTATCTTCCAGAATTTATTTCTACACAGCTTGTGGAGGTAAAGTATGAAGCTCCTCTTGGTAAGATTAAAGATGCTGATAAATCAGCAAAGAACAACATTACCATGACAGCTACAGTCTGGATCAGCGTTGCCACAGAGGTATATCACTTGTCACTTTATAGGGTTAGGTTTATTATTGCCTCACAAAAACGTCCCGTGAAGGACACACTGGGCCAACCATTGCTTCTTGGATTGAGAAGACTGCAGATATTACTCTGAGCAAAATTGTGGTTGTTTTCGATGACAATGGCTCCAATGTAGTGGTGACTGCAAACATCTTGCAGGAAAAACATGGGTGGATGTCTTACTTGTAAAATTATTTCTATTTCTATCCTTAATCACTCTAACCTGCTGCACATCCTTTCCAGCTCGAGCTCTCTGCCTAGACAATCGATACAAGTTCTTTTCTCCCTCCTTGGTGTCCAGCATCTTAAACAACTCACTATAAGCCTTTTCCACCTCTCTCTTGGCCGTATACTTAGCCTGCGAGTACTCTTGTTTACTTTCATCTTTTGTGTGTTCATTTAAGGAACACATAAGAGTTAAAAATACTAGATTTTTTTGGATTATACAAGGTATATGTATAAATGGGTATATGTGTAAATAAATAATTGATTCTTGGCAAGACAATCATTTTTACTGAAGCGACCCTTCCCATGAGTGATATAGGTAGAGGTTTCCATCTAGCCAGATCATCAAATGGAAAAATCATAGTGTTATTAAGCAAGCTTGATTGTTAAATCCCATTTCTAAAACAACAATGTGAGTGAAACAAATATAAGTACTCATTGTGACAAACAAAGATTTGATTAATATCTAAAAATATTGTTCATGGCTGACCTTCAAATACTTCTGGTGCCATCCAGGCTGCACTTCCTTTATTGTTGGTCATGTAGGTCTGAATATCACAAGCTGTTCCAAAGTCGCATATCTTCAGCACAGTACCACGAGCCACAAGCAGTAGACTGGAACAGTACAGACAGGGGTTTAAGACTTTCAAAAAAACGTTAATCTAAAATTTATATTCTAGTATACTTCATCAAAACTGATCAAAATACCATCATCAATAAGATATCGCCTAGAAGAAAAGTTAGATGGTGATGCTCTGTGGAGCGTGAATGTGTGCATGACATTTCATGGCAGTCTAACAGTCTTACAGTCTTCTGTTCCTTCAATTGATATTGCAAATGTCAGCTCCAAAATGCCAAATTTCAGGAAATAAAGATTCATAATCATGGCAAAATAAACATGTGGACAAAATTTCATGGCAATCCATCCCATAGTTATTATGCTATGTTACCGATCAGCAAGTAACACCAAGAGTGACTAATACTTTAGATAAATTGTAACAGAAATACTTTTAAACCCGTGGGGGGAAAAAAACACATGTTCCAAAATGCCACCACAAAGGTTTTGAGTGCTCTTAAATCTCTGCACTGTTTATCATTATCTGTATCATTGAGAATCTTACTTTGGTGGTTTGAGGTCCCTATGAATTAAAGCCTTTGGCTTCATAGCATGAAGATAGGCAACTCCCTGGGCACACTGCAGACACCAGCTCATTGCATGGGATGCTGTATAGAAGGGCTGTGGGTCTGCACCATGCAGAACTTTGAGTGAGAAGCAGAGATGAAAAGAAATAATGATTATATCAATAAGCACAATAATGTGAGACTGTCATTTTTCTGCTATTTCAAATGCATTGAAATTAATTAGTAAAGAGCGTGAATGGTACGGTATGGTAGCCTCCAGACTTATTTGAAAATTAACTACTTACATTGTTGTAACATTGTGCTTTCCTAAATAATTAAGCAGTTTTTTAAAATATACCAAAATATCCCACGGATATTCAGACACTGTTAGAACCAGCATAACTGGAATATCGTACATTTGTCAACAATCGTTAAGATGCTTCTGCAACTGCATTCGAAGATACCCGTGTCTATTTGAATTCAATGAAGACGATGAGGAAAGCCATACAGCTTTCTATAAAGTCTCAAACACCTCTCACTGATGTTCTACTTTATTATATATGTTATTATGTTCATATGTTATGTAAGATAAAACCAAGCCATGACACTAAGAGAGCTGTGGGATTCTAAACTTTGGACTGTATCAAGGCACAGCTCTGGGAAAGGATACCAAAAATGTTTTTGCAGCACTGAAAGTGTCCCAGAGCCTCTATTATCTTAAAATGGAATAAGTCTGAAACCCAGTCTAGCTTGTCAGTCTAGTTCTTAGATCTTGCTACCCAGCCAAACTAGACAATAATTAGGAATGACCAGTCTTGGTCAAACAAGTAAGCCAATGGTTTCTATAAATGAGAGACAAAAGAAAGGTCAACCAAACTAAGAGAATCATTGATAAGAAAACCTTGTAAGTTTGGAATACTTATGTACCGTAACAGCGCAATTCAGACTTTTAACTTTAACATGTAAACATGCCAAATGGTAAATGGACTGGTTCTTATAGAGCACTTTTCTACACTATCTGAACACTCAGGGCGCTTTATGACATCCATTTTTGTCTTAGGAAGTACACTGTGAAGGTTAACAAAGAAGATATGGAAAACATGAAAGGGTCTGAAAACCTTTTGAACTAATAATAGGATGTTTTTATTAGCTATACTAGGAAAAGCTATGCAACGGAAAAAAAACTATAACATGTTTCAGTAACTATCTCCTTAACTTCCCTTTAAAAAACTCTTTGCTCAGACACAGTAGGACTTACGGTTATATAAAGATCCACATTCTGCATACTCCATGACCAGACAGACCTGAGGGGGAATAAAAGAAAAAAAAAATCACATACCCTACAGATACAGTGGCGTGCAAGAGAACTTTGCCACATTTTGTCACATTACAGCCACAAGCATGGATCAATTTTACACGCGAGTAGTGGAATGAAAATCATACATGACTCCAAACATTTTTTACAAATAAATAACTGCAAAGGTAATGGTGGTAATTATTCAGCCCCCTTTGGTCTGAGTGCAGTCAGTTGCCCATAGACATTGCCTGATGAGTGCTAATGACTAAATAGAGTGCACCTGTGTGTAATCTACTGTCAGTACAAATACAGCTGCTCTGTGACGGCCTCAGAGAATATTGGGAGCAACAACACCATGACGTCCAAAGAACACGCCAGACAGGTCAGGGATAAAGCTATTGAGAAATTTAAAGCAGGCTTAGGCTACAAAAAGATTTCCCAAGCCTTGAACATCCCACGGAGCACTGTTCAAGCCATCATTCAGAAATGGAAGCAGTATGGCACAACTGTAAACCTACCAAGACAAGGCCGTCCACCTAAACTCACAGGCCCAACAAGGAGAGCGCTGATCAGAAACGCAGCCCAGAGGCCCATGGTGACTCTGGACGAGCTGCAGAGATCTACAGCTCAGGTGGGGGAATCTGTCCACAGGACAGCTATTAGTCGTGCACTGCACAAAGTTGGCCTTTATGGAAGAGCGGCAAGAAGAAAGCCATTGTTAACAGAAAACCATAAGAAGTCCCGTTTGCAGTTTGCCACAAGCCATGTGGGGGACACAGCAAACATGTGGAAGAAGCTGCTCTGGTCAGATGAGACCAAAATGCAAAACACTATGTGTGGAAAACTAACCCTGCACATCACTCTGAACACACCATCCCCACCGTCAGATATGGGGGTGGAAGCATCATGCTCTGGGGGGGCTTCTCTTCAGCAGGGACAGGGAAGCTGGTCAGAATTGATGGGAAGATGGATGGAAACAAATACAGGGCAATCTTGGAAGAAAACCTCTTGGAGTCTGCAAAAGACTTGAGACTGGGGCGGAGGTTCAGCTTCCAGCAGGACAACGACCCTAAACATAAAGCCAGGGCAACAATGGGATGGTTTAAAACAAAACATATCCATGTGTTAGAACGGCCCAGTCAAAGTCCAGATCTGAATCCAGTCGAGAGTCTGTGGCAAGATCTGAAAACTGCTGTTCACAAACGCTGTCCATCTGATCTGACTGAGCTGGAGCTGTTTCAAAGAAGAATGGGCAAAGATTTCAGTCTGTAGATGTGCAAAGCTGGTAGAGACAGACCCTGAAAGACTGGCAGCTGGAACTGCAGCAAAAGCTGGTTCTACAAAGTATCGACTCAGGGGCTGAATAATTACACACACCCCACTTTGCAGTTATTTATTTGTAAAACATGTTTGGAATCATGTATGATTTTCGTTCCACTTCTCACGTGTGCACCACTTTGTGTTGGTCTTTCACGTGGACGTCCAATAACATTGATTGATGTTTGCGGCTGTAATGTGACAAAATGTGGGAAAGTTCAAGGGGCCGAATACTTTTGCAAACCACTGTAAATACAACAAAATCATGAAGATCAAAACAACTCTAAACCTATCACTGCTTCTTCACATCCAGACAAGATAAAAACATAATGGGACAACTTTTTTCTTTTTTTTTAATTCAAACTTTTATTGTTGCAAATGTTGAGTGTTATATACTCACTGGATTGTCACAGAAGCCATAGAGCTTAACAATGTTGGAATGATTCACTCGGGAGAGCTGGCGGAGCTGTGCATAGACAAAAGCAGCACAGGTGTAAAGGACATACACATTTAAAAAAAGCAGTCAGAGTGCAAACCTCCCCAAGGAAGCTCACTTTCTGAGCACTGTTTACTTTGAAGGGAATAGTATTCTATTTTATATATATTAATTTTGTTTTTGCAAAAAAAACAAAAACACACACAAAAAACAAAAACATTCAATAAGGGCAAAATTAGAGATGTTTACTTTAATTACGCTAACATTATGTGGGAGCAGCTAATCCATAATAGACACTGATTTATAAAAAACTGGACATGAATAACTGAAGTTTATTACGGAAGAGGATTAGGGCCACGGGGGGGGGGAGAAGAAAAGAAGTGGGCACGTCTTTTTTCTCTTCTTTTCCAGAATTCTGAGATTAAAGTCAGAATTCTGACTTTAGCCATGCTAGACCAGGGGTGGGCAATTCCAGGCCGGTGTCCTGCAGGTTTTAGATCTCACCTTGGGTCAACACACCTGAATCACATGATTAGTTCATTACCAGGCCTCTGGAGAATGTCAGGACATGTTGAGGAGCTAATTTAGCCATTTAAATCAGCTGTGTTGGTTCAAGGACACATAAAACCTGCAGGGACACTCGAGGCCTGGAGTTGCCCACCCCTGTGCTAGACCATCCTTAGACTTGGTCAGATTTGCTTCTGGAATATTTGTGAAAAAATGGCTTGTCTTCTATTATCTGAAAGGTTGGCAGCTGACATACTCACAGCAGAACCTCAGTTCACTGACAAAGGCCTTGATTTTTTGGATACTGGAAAAAAAAAAAACAACAACTCTGAAGGTTGGAGATGTTTTAACCAAAGACAAAACCCTTCTAAGCACTGACCAACACGTTCACAAAGTGGAGATGAAGACTGTAAAAGGAGGAACTGTCAGGCCAATTTTAGACATTGTAATCCTCCTTTCTGGGAAAATTTGAAGTAAAACTAAAAAGTTTCTGTTTCACACTTAAAAAAAAAAAGGAAGAAAAGAATTTCTTTACATTGTAGTTTACATAGTGGCATAATAGAATCACGCCAAACACGGAGTATACTGTCTTTCTTAGAAATTAACAGATTTCAGTGCACATGTTATTGACACCAGAGCAAATGGGCCTGTTGGTGAAGGACAGTCAGGGCAGGCCTCCTGGCAGTCCTATAAGATAGGAGACTGGCTGTGTGCAGTCTGATCCGGATTATCTGGGTAGAGTGCTGTGCAAACCTGTAGAAGACTGCCCATGGTTCCCAAGTGCAGGTTGAAAAAATAGTCTTACTGTGGTGTCATCTTCTTGAAACGCCCACTTCGCGGCTTGTCTTTGACATCCCCCATTGTATGGCACTTGGCCTTAAATTTAAGAGATGGTAGTAGAGTTCACATCAAATAATGCTGCAATTTGGTTTTGCAGAACAAGAACAAGAGTTTGAATAGGGCCTGCTGCCCTATAGGGAAGGTCCTATTCAGATCAGTTAAATGTGGAATGTTTGGAGCAGACAAAACTGGCCGCTGTAGTGGGGTCTGTGTGCACAGATGCCACTACTCAGGGGCCCATCAGACACCTGATTGGCAAGAGTCAATAGCAGAAGATGCTATTTAGCACTGACAGAGAAGACTTGGCAAGTATTTCAATTTACTCAACTCTGCTGCTCAACAAACAAATGCATTTTCCTTAAAAATGTGGCACCATATAGGGGACACAAGGAGAAGATAAGAAGAAAAGATAGCTGTAGGCCTCAGGGAAGCTGTTGCATGGTGCCATGGGTTCATCTAGTGTGTATCAGTACTGACAGGTATTTATGTTTCTCGGTCCACTGGATTAAAATGGGAGACAGTACTTTATCTACTATATGTCGTGGCATTGGGTAATTGTGGACCTTCACTGATGATAGCACGTGGATGAGTGGAGAAAGAAAGCTTAATATGAATATATTAAGAGTTGACTGAACCAACTCTGATCGGCTGTTTTGTAACGGAAAACCCAGGAGTTTGTGTTTTCTATCATTCACACTCCAATGAATGCACTGGAGAGAAACTTGGGTTTAGCTGGCACGCAGGCGGGAGCAGGCAGGGCCAGAACCACCAGCCTTCTGATTGGTGGGTGACGTCCTCTACGTCCTGAGCCACAGCCTGGAGGCAGGTAGGTAGCCTGTGCTGGCAGTACATTCACAGTGAGTGGATCTTTCCAGCCAAATGTGGTGTTTCAGTTAGGGCTGAACGATATATCGCGCATTTGCGATAATATCGCGACATGATCAAGTGCAATTTTCTAACCGCAAAGGCTGCGATTATACTCTGGACATGTCCAAATTCATGGGCTGCATCCTCCT